GCATTTCCACACATCGCCCAGTATCCGTCCCAAGTGCCCTCCTTAATGCCCCTTGCCGATTTCCCCCATCCCCCACCCGCCTCCCCTCTGGTAACTGTAGGTTGGTTCTCTCTAGTTGAGAGACTGGTTCTTGGTTTGCCTCTTTTTTCTTTTTTGCCTTTGCTCATTTGTTTTGTTTAAACTCCACATGTGAGTGAAATCATACAGTATTTGTCTTTCTCTGACTTATTTCACTTAGCATTATACTCTCTAGCTCCATCCACGCCATTGCAAAGGAAGATTTCATTCTTAGGGTAGAATAATACTGTGTCATGTGTATATTTATACTGCATCTTCCTTATCCATTTATCTGTCCATAGACACTTGAGCTGCTGCCATACTTGGGCTGTTGGAGAGAATGCTGCTGTTTATAAGTTGTTTTGATTAGTGTTTAGTTGTTTTACTCCAGTAGTGCGATTGCTGGATCATAGGGTAGCTCTATTTTTATCTTTTTGAGGAACCTCCACACTTTTCCACAGTGGCTGCACCAGTTTGCATTCCCACCAGCAGTGTAAGAGGGTTCCTTTTTCTCCACGTCTTCGCCCCCACTTGTTGTGTTTTTTATTTTAGCCATTCTGAGATATGAGGTGGTGATGAGTGAGGTCAAGCGCCTTTCCATGTGTCTTTTGGCCATCTGTAGGTCTTCTTTGGAGAAATGTCCATTCGTGTCTTCTCCCCATTTTTAATTGGATTATATTTTTTGGGTGGTGTTGTATCAGCTCTTTATATATTTTGGGTACTAGCCCTTTATTGGATATGGCATTTGCAAATATCTCCTCCCATTCAGTAGGTTGGTTTTGTTGATGGTCTCCTTCACTGTCCTTGATTTTTTTTTTTAATGTAAAAATAGTATCTTTAGCATAAGCAAGATCTGTATTGCCATAGAAAATAGGTTACAATTGTTTTCTTTAAGGAAGACTTGGATTTTTACCAGATAGCCTCTATCTACCTGGTGAGACACTTTGAGTCCCCTTTCTATTTTCAGAGGAATATTATAGTGCTATCCAAATCTGTTTGTTCCCTGTAATTATTTGTCTACAGAAGAAGCTAGAATTGAAAGAATAACTGCTACCACATAGCGAGCACTCCTGTCAGACTCTGGCCAGGGACTTCCATACCTTGTCCCAGTTAATATACCGGTGCCGTCAGGCATGGTGTTCCTGTCTGCTGCTGAGGAAGCTGGTGCCATGTGGAGTGAAGGGTTTGGCTCAAGGTCACCCAGGAAGTCAGTGGCAAACCCAAGGTCCCAAACCTTTGCTCTTACATACTACGCTGTCATTTGGTTGTATGGTGACTATTAAAAGAGCTAAAAACAAAAATAGAATTTGAGATCCTTTTCAAAATCTTAACTGAAGAAAAACTGTAGTTTGTATCTAGTTTAGTTATCCCTAGTCACAGGGCACACTGGATTCTGAGCATTACTGATTATAGCTCAGATCAAAGATTGGTCTCTTTATGCCACTGTAGACCAAAGGTGTATCTGTCCCTTCAGAATAATTAAAGCAGTATTTCTGAAGAGTCAGCACATGAAGTTTGTCAAAGTTTATGACCTAGGAACAAAGCAGTTGGATCGGCGCAAACAGAAGAGGCAGCTGGGAGCAGGAGGGAGCCAGGACTCGGCACAACCCTCTTCTCCTGGAGGGCGGGGAGCTGGGAGGCGGCTCTTGGCACCCGGAAGAGGACTGGCTGAAGAAGATGGGACAGGAGTAGGTCTCAGTGGGGAGCAGACTGGGGTATGGAGTAGCTTCCTGTTAAGTACGTGTGGCAGAACCTCTGCTGGTTCCCCAAGGGGGAGTTAGACCTGGTTCAAAACGGGACACTGATCCCCCTCCTTGAGGACCACAGCCCTGGCCAGGGGAGTCGTCCGGACTGGGGAGGAAGAGCTGAGGCAGGTGCTTGTGTTACTTGCTCTAGATCTCGTGCTTCCTGGGTGCTCTCAAGGTCGGCTGAGGGGTTCCAGATTCCGGGTGCAGCATGCCCGTGTGTGTCTCAGGGTTGAGGAGCCTCAAGGGCAGCTTTGACAGAGGGGTCTCGTGGCTTGTTTATCTGGTTCGGGAGTCAAATTTCGCTATTACATGACAGAATTGAGCCCACTCCGTAGACCTCATCCCTCCCCTGTGGTTAGCCCAGGTGCCAGCCTGGGGATGTCTGCAGGCAGGTGGGCAGGGCAGCCATTGGGCACTTGAGGAGGCCAAGGCAGGCACTACCAAGGACAGAAGTTGGAGTTGGATCTCGACAAAATTATGGGAAAAGCTCTGGTCTTATTTTCATAGAACCAGGCCAAAAAAAAAACCACTCAATGTACACGTATTATCCTTAGCTTGAATTAGTCAAATGGCTTATTTCTAGTTTCACAACTTGAAGTGTTCTTTGGAAAAACCCACATTTGGGTAGTGAGAATTATACTTTTCAGGGCTAGACTCCCTATAGAACTAGAAATGACGATGCATGGAAAGATGACTTTATTATATTTTTATCAGTAGACAAACTTCCTAAAAAATTTACATACTCATATTTGCAGATAAACCCACATCATAAAATGACTAATAGGACTCTGTTCTGAATCATGCTGTCTTTGCAGGTAACAAGTTAAACTGAAAAATGTCTACATCTAATTTTTGAACTTTTTTTCCTAACTTGACAATTTGTTTGTAAACTTTGGGAGAAATAATTTGGATAACTGTAGAATTGACTTTACCTTCTCATGGTGTTTCTTATATGATCTGTTTTCATGACTCTTCTTGAATGTTATCATCCAAGGTGAACAGGTCCATTTTACACACAGGTTCTGCTTTGCTTTTTCCCTCCTGCAGTGGTAGGTGGAGCAAACCTGTAATGGGACCCTTTGCTTGTGGCCATTCCGCACGGACAGGGTTTCAGGGCAAGTGGAAGTCTTATCAAAGAGTAAGGCATTTTTGTGCCATTAAATCTTCCTAGCTCAACAGCAAATGCTGTGCTCTTCAAATCTGTCCAGGCTTCAAGGGCCCTCGGAGAGTCTGGGACAGCTCCTCTGAGAGCTAGACAAAGAAGGAGGCTTGGAAGCAGATGAGACACGGGCTCATCAGGATGTCTAATGCACCATTTGTTAGGTCTGCCTTGGGAGGAACATCCCGAAATCTTGGTATGAAGGGTGTAAAGGAACTTCCTTGGTTGTTATCATACATATGGACCTCTTGGAGCTTTCTGAAGCCGTTTTTACTTTCACTAATATGGTCAAAAGTGGCAAGGGGAGCAAATTAAGCTTTAAGGTTGTCTCCCAGTTCAGCTGGTAGCCTCCCAGGCTCCCAGGAACTCCGCTCTGGGTGGTTGTGTGTGGGCTGTGGGCATGTATCTAAAACCCCAGGAGCCGGAGCACTGTTGAAGGAGCAGAGGTGGAGGAGAGATGGACTGTGTCCTCCAGAAGCTTATGGTCTAGTTGAATAGTGACGTAACCCACTCAGCAGACATTTATTAAGGAAGTGGGAGGGGTAGGCACCATAGTAACTCAGCAGTGATTAAGCAGCAGTCCAACCTTCTGAGGAGTTTGCGATGAATGAGTGGTTAAGTAGCAAATACCAAATGATTCCAGCAGAACAGTGAATGTCCCCTTGACTAGTATAAACCAGTAAGTACTCAGAAAATGGAGGAATCACGATGGGTTGGAATGGCCTGTGAAGGCTTTTAGGATGTGGTAGGCTGAGGCAAAAACTCTGAATCCTAGGTGTTTTTCATGGGATCTGCTAGGTTCCCAAATAAAGCACAAAGAAATGAAGTGTTAATTTCCAAAACTTTAGGGATTCTGGTTGGTCGGTGACTAAAGGTCCTTTCTGTGGCTTCCGCCGCCTCTGGGCCTTCTCCCTTCCCGCTCTATCCCACTGTGCCTCTGGGACCCCTCCAGGGCCCACATGTGGTTATCTCTAGCTGTTCTGCATGGCTGTGTAGTGTAGCAATGCTTACAATGTGCTTATTTTTTTAAAAAGATTTATTTATTTGACAGAGATCACAAGTAGGCAGAGAGGCTGGCAGAGAGAGAGGGGGAAGTAGGCTCCTCACTGAGCAGAGAGCCCGATGCGGGGCTTGATTCCAGGACTGAGATCATGACCCGAGCTGAAGGCAGAGGCTCAACCCACTGAGCCACCCAGGCGCCCCTCATTTTCTTTAATGTACTTTTGAACAGTTTACAGAGTTGAAAAGCCAAAAGTTACAAGTCATTCAGTAAATATTACCTTATCCCCACCTCTTCCCTGACTTCTCTCTCCTTGCTGTTAGATTAGTTTCTTACTTATTGTTCAAGATTTTATGTCTATAGGAAAAAACATAATTACTTTTCCTCTGTTTTGTCCAGAGATGGCATGTTGTATGCATGGTATGGTATCTTGCTTTTCTTCATTTCACAATGTATCTGAGAGTTCTTTCCTGGTAGTAAGTAGAGCACATTCTGGTTCTTTTCATAGCTGCATAGTATTCTGCCGGATAGCTACACGATAATTTTTTTAACCAGGTCTCCATGTTAGTGACTTAAGTGGATTTTATCTTCGCTATTCTAAAGCAAGCTATAATGAGTAACCACACAGGCCATTCGTGTGTGTTAATGCTACATACAGCAGTGCTCGAGTTCTAGTGGCCCATGAATGGGAAAAGAGGAAGTATGGGTTGAAAGGATTCAAACCCTGGCATGTGCTGTCAGGTCACATCCAAACCCAGAAACTTGGAAATAATCTGACAAATATGCCTAATAAGAGTAGATCTTAGTCCCTTCCCTAACACACCTGTATTATAAAGAGATGAGAAAACCCCAGTTTTGGCTTCTCTGTGGCTTTCACCAGAGTTGTCCAATGTCCAAAGATGTTTGTTTGACCAAAGGTCATTGGTGGTGTTGGCCTGGGCCTGGGCAACGTCCTACTCTTTTAGAACTTGTTCTTCCAGAGCACCTTCTGGCCCACTGTGAAATTCTCAATGCTACCGTGACCTTGTTTTTGTAGGCGGGCCCATCTTCGCTTGTGCCTGGAGAAGTTGAAGGGGCTGGTTCCGCTTGGGCCCGAGTCGAACCGACACACTACGTTGAGTTTGTTGACAAAAGCCAAATTGCACATAAAGGTAAGAAGATCCTTGGGATTCATTTTTAGCTTTACCTGTCCATTAAGGACTTGTCTGCTGATGAGGGGTAGCAAACGTGTATCATCCTCCAGCCTGCCTCTTTGATGATCTCAGGCATCCCAAACCAAACATGTCCAGAACCCAACTCAGTATTTCTCACCCTTGTGTAGCAGCAGTTAAAGGGTCCTCTAATTGTCCGTTTGATTAAGCCAAAAACTCAGGGTCAGCCTTGCTATCCCTTGCTCTGTTAGCCATATGAGTCCTCTCCAAGACCTAAATATTTCACAGGCTAACTCCCATTTCACCCTACCATCTACTGCCGTGAACTCCTCAGAGGTCTCCCTGTATTCCTCTAGCTGCCTCTGAGCTAAGCTATGTGCTTCCCAAGAGTAATCCTTCCAAAGCCCAAGTCAGCATGTCACCCCGTTTAAAATTCTTCAGTGGCCCAGGGCAGTCTGTCAGCAGGCCTGCCCCAGGCTGCATGACCTGGCCCTCACCTGCCTGTACAGCGGCATCTTGGGCCCTGTGCCCTTTCAGCCCCTTGCACTTGTCATGCTCTCTAACCACAGGGCCTTTGTACGTGCTGTTCCCTCTGGTTGGTATGTTTTCTCCTCCCTTCTTCACCTAGTTAACTTCTTGTCATCCTTTAGATCTCAACACAGGTATCACTAGCTCAGGAAAGCCTTTCTTGACCTGCTTACGTCCTTCCTGCAACAGTTGAGCTATTATTGGATATCTTTCTCTCTCTTAGCACTTATCACAGTTGTCATCTGACCATGGTTTGTGTGACTGTTTGGTTGTCTCCATTGTCGGAGGAGGGGACGAGGTCTTTATGCTCACCTTGTATCCCTAGCACCTCCCAGAGGGTCTGAAACAGTCCGCGTGTAGCACGTAGCTTGAAGAGCAAAAGGTGAGAGAGTAAAGTGGTAGACTGTCGCAAGCCACAGCCGGAACTCACCGTTTAGCAATAACCCTTTAGTCACTGTTGGACAAATGTCTCCTTAATTATGGTTAGTGGCCTGCCTTCATGACAATTCTGGAGGGAAAAAGAACCTCTGTCTAGAGCAACATAACCACAGTTAAACAGATTCATAAAAACAAGTGGTCTTTGGAAATGCATTTAAGCTCTTATGTTGGACAGTTTGGAATCAGGACTTGCAAAGACTGTTTCCTGCTACTGAACAGAAGTTAATTGAGATCTGGAATAACTCAGGTGTTGATATCATTAGAACACAGAGCTGACGAACCCTCCTTCTGCACGGCTGTGTCACAGCTCCTGGCCTGTGGCGGGCTGTAGTTCAGAGAGCAGTGCTCAGGGTGTTCCCCACAGACATGGGGGGCTGCTAGCTCTTCCCCGGCATTAGAGGGGCCGAGCTCAGCCCCCAGATCCCTACCTGTGACCGTGCAGGTAGCCACAGCGAGGTCAGTGCCGCGGAGCATAGCCAAAGGCAGGAGGCCCCCATCCTGCCCTGGGAGAAGCCAGACGAGAGATACCAAAGGGCTTCTGAGGAGAGCCGGCCTGTCAGGGGGCTCAAAGGCAAGATGCAGAGTCCTTGCCCATTTGGAAGTTGGCCTGCGGGCTCCAACAGCTCCCCCTTTGACTTGCAGAAACTTGAAGATTGTGACAGAAAAGCCATTCACCAAATAGACCAGCTTCAGCGAGAGCAGCGGCACCTGAAGCGGCAGCTGGAGAAGCTGGGCATCGAGAGGATACGGATGGACAGCATTGGCTCCACGGTCTCCTCGGAGCGCTCGGACTCCGACAGGGGTGAGCACCTGCCATGTGTGTGTGTGTGTGTGTGTGTGTGTGTGTCCAGAGACCTGGCCCACTTGAGCTGTCGCGATGTCCAACTGGACCCCCAGTGACGAGTCCCTCTTACCTCCTCGCACTCTGGCTGGGGCTCCAGCACAGGGCCTGGCGGGTCTGGCTTGGCGGTTGGGCCCGAGCATCCCGTGGCACGCCTCCACCCATGTCTCTTGTCCTCCCCACAGAAGAGATCGACGTGGACGTTGAAAGCACAGACTATCTCACGGGTGACTTGGACTGGAGCAGCAGCAGCGTGAGCGACTCGGACGAGCGGGGCAGCATGCAGAGCCTGGGCAGTGACGAGGGCTACTCCAGCTCCAGCATGAAGAGAATAAAGCTCCAGGACAATCACAAGACGTGTCTGGGCCTCTGAGAGCGCAGGGTCGCCGCGGCTGCCTCCCGGAGGGCTCTGCCGGCCGAGCGGATTAGGTAGCGTATCAGACCCAACCCACAGTCCCCTTGCACGTCAGCCTCCGTGTACCACCTGTACCAGAACCAGCTCTGTAAACGTTTTCCAGGAAGTGCTTAGGATGGTGGGTTTCTGATTGCATCCACTAGTTTCTCTTTCTCTCCATAAAAATCCGTCTGCCAGACTGTACATTCCAATCACTCTGAAGCACCCAAGAATTCTCAGACCGAATAAGCAACTTTCACCACCCAGCACTCTCCCCCACCTTATTTACTGTCCCCGGGTAGTCTAGCATACCTGTCTTAAAGTTTTCTGGCTATGTTACTCACCTAGCAGGAATGTCCGAATGTGTCTTGTGCTTAGGAAATGGAAGGAAACAAACTTTTAAAGTTGAGATCCTGATCTCAGAACTCCACAGTAAGCTTTGAAAGCGGCATTTAAGAGCACTTCACCGTGGACCTCACCCCAGTGAGGAGTCAGGAACACCTCCAGAAAACACACCCTTCACCCACCCCCCCTTGCTCACCCTGCGCCCCTGCCAGCTGCGTGTGGATGGGAGCAGTAGTTCTCGCCTGGAAGTGGACACCGTGCTAGAGCACGTCTTTGGGGTCGCACAGCTCATGCAAGCTCCAGCAGCGTTTGTTGTCACAAACAAGACGGTACAATCTCTTTGTGTGCGGTGTTCTTGGGACCGCGCTGCGTACTGCTATCCCAAGGCACGTTTTTCCCTCAAAGTTTGTTATGCTACTTGTCTCTGGAACATTTTTTTTCCTACCTCAGAGATAAACGAGATCTCCATTTCCCACTTAACACAAAGTGATTATGCCTTTTTTTCACCCCCAGATAAGTGACATTGGGTCCAACTCTAATCTATTTTCCTATTTAACTTTCAGCAATAACTGAGCTTTGGCGCTAGCTGAGCTAGTGTCCATCAGTGAAAGGAAAAGTCCACATTTCTACCCTGTGTTGCAGGTGAACAGGAGGGGATGGTACAGTGTTATTAGAATTCCTCTCCTTATTTTTGGATACACCCAGAAACTTCTTTATGGAGGCTTCTGGGGTTGCTAGTTTAAAAGGCTGATCTTTCTTTTTGGTTATGATTTCTCCCTCAAGTGGTCTCCCACTTTGTAGCATTTTTATTTAAGCTAAAACAGAGCACATGTATATGTACATAAGACACATTAAATCTATAAATACTATTTATTCATTTTATATAAACTAATGTAATGGAAAACAAATTCTTATGACTTTGTGCTTTTATAGATGTTCTAGAAACTTTGTATGTAGGTATCTACAAAATTGGTTCATTCCCCTTAATATTTTTGCATTCATATTTTTGAGGTCGAGGTTTTCAGCCTCTGGCAAATCTTTTTCATTGAATTTGAACCATTTGTAAAACCTGTGACGCTGAAACAGAGTGTGTGTCACAAAGTGACAAGAACATTCCTAAAATCCACAGACGCACTGCAACCTAAGGGCTCCACGGCTGAAGCAGCAGCGGGCGGGTGGCCGCCCCGAGCCCCCACCGCCTGCGGTCTCTGGCCCCCCAGCCTCGCCTCACCTCGCCTCCAGCACCTCCACCTTCTACACGACTCAGAGTTCAAACGTGCTCCACACGGAAGCTCATTCATTAGAGTGGTTTAAACAAAGCAAGATTACTTTCGTTCTTTCATTTTAATGATTCTAATGTATTAAAATTTTTAATTGGAAATAGTCGATTCTTTAAATGATTCCAAAGTCATCTGTACTTCTGTTTTTGTTTTGTTCTGTTTTTTTTTTTTTTTCCTGAGTTTCAGCTTTGCGGGGGGGGGGGGGGGGGGGGCAGGTGACACAGAGGATTTTTTTTTTTTTTTTTTGGAATCTTTTCCAATGACCAGCTGAAGATTTGCACTGAAATACAACTTGTATGCCTTTTGCATTTTTAAAGCCTGCTTCCTGAATTTAAGCAGAGTGATAGTGTTCAAAGAGCCAGCTCAGCCTATAACGTTTGAAAAGATGTATCTGCACTTTGAGGTCCCTTTCGAATGGCATTCGCTAGACCTCTCAAGCGTTTTAATTGCTACATTGAAGCCCGTCACAAGGCCAAGATGCTGGATGCCAAATGGCATCGAAAACTCAAGACTTTGGGCAAAGCTGGTGGGCTTGCTTTGGGGGAGGGAAGGGAACAGAATTTGTGTATTTGTTCGATTTAGAAATAAGGCATCTGAGAGATGCCGTTATTTTCTGTGTTTAAGTTAAACTGCATTTTTGTCTTTTGGTTGAAATCTGAAATGTACTGTCCCAATATAAAACAGTAATTATTTGACCTTTGCACTGTTTGTCTGGTCCTTTTCAATTTGACTGCATATATAATGTGGAAATGGATATATTTTTAATGCACTTGTGATTAACTGACACCAGGGTTAGACCTTACTTTGCAAAAGCTTGAGGTGGACCGAATCGGCATGCCAGCCAGGCCTCTCTCTAACCAAAACTGTAATCTTCAGGACCAGCAAACTCAGCCCGAGGCAGCTACTCCCCTTCCCCACGCGGCTATCAGCAGCCCTGATTTGCCAACCTGTCCTCTCATTCACTGATCCACCAGCGCGACTGTTCAGAGCTATAAAGTCTTTTTGGTTGTTCAGGGTTTTTTAAAGAAAAATGAAAAACCTTTCTATGAGGGTTGTTGGGGGGGAGGGGATGGGCAAAGATAGAAACCCCAGCCTTTAAGACTTTGACAATTGTACGTAACTATAGATGTGTGTAAATATAGGAACATGCATATTTTTTATGTAAAATTGGTTTTAAAAGACAAGAGAAATCTATACTCTTCACCGATACCATTGCAATGCAGATGGGATAAGAAGAGTATGTAGTCCAGTTTTGTGCAGTGAGAAAACTGTCTGTGTGCTTCTGTGAACAGCCCAGAAAGCCTAGCTTTCTCCGCCTGTTGGCTTAAAATGGCAAAGCACCCAGGGGATTGTGTGGGTTTTCTGCTGCTGAGCAAAGATCTTGAATTCTTCAAGGTGCTGCTAGTGACCGCTGACTCCTGTGTCTAGTCACAGACCTAATGCTAGTTTGTGATGCCCTTTGAATCACTATTTTGAGCAGGATCTAAATTCCTTTCCCAGTTTACCCCAGACTCAATTTCAGGGTCAATTCAAAATTGAGCACTGTGGTAGGGCCCTGACCTGGCATTCAGCCCCTGGAGCAGGTTTCTTTCTAAGGAAAGCGTGGTCCTTTAACCTCTGCTTATTTTCAAAAGAAACAAAGGATCCTTACCTGGGTTTCCTGTGGGCCTCTCTGATCCGTCCCCAAAGTGGCCAAGAGCAGATCCTAGGCTGTGGGGTGAAAAAAAAAAAAAGTGTCAACTAGGTAGGATGGTGGTGCTCAAAATAACTGTCTAGCGAGGTCTTGGGGGGTTGCAAATGGGCGTTATGGGCTTTTTTTCTTCTTGCCTCTGCCCCATCCTTTAAAGAGAAAACTTATTTTTGAAAAGTATATACATACACATTTAGGTTTTTATACCATACTGTATCAGCAAGAATACCACTTTCATTGTGCTTTATAATCTATTCCTGAATCTGTCTTCTCTTCCTTCTCTGCTTGTTTCCCAAGCTGCTTTGCCTTCCTCCTCTACCTGCTGTGTGTCGAACCCCAGGAAGTCAACTGCCACAAGGCGATTTCCTGCAGGTCAATCTGGGTTTTGTTTTTTGGCGTTGTTGTTGTTGTTTTCCTGTGTCTAACTCTTGGATGCGGCATGCTTAGGTAGCTGGCTACTGAGTTTTCAAATCCTTTCTGGGAGAAGATGACCCAAAGATCCTTGCAGACGGGGTGGTTTTTCTCATTTAGATCTCTGTGACTATGGGTTGTTTTGTTTTCAAAGCGATCTGGGGATGGGGAGGGGTGTGTGTGCGATATGCGATTTATCATGATTTCCTCAATATTTGTTCCATGGATGCTTTTCTTACATTCTTCTGAAAGAAGAAATAACTGTCTGGCACTTCTAGAGTCAGCTCTTGACTGGCTAAAGAAATTGAGTATCTTTGTCTTCTCTCAAAATCATAAAATGAGAATTAGTGAGGCACCCGATTCTAAGGTTTATCCAAATTTTTTATTTTGATTTCTTATTCTGGGGAGGGTGGTAAGTTGATGGGGCATTCTTCATTTTAGCTTTTACCTGCGAACCAAACTTGCCTTTTACCCCTTGTCCCTGGAATTGGTGCTCTGGGAATATTGCTGTTAACCATCAATGTTGGGGCCATCTTCCTAGTAAACACAGCCTAAACAGGGGAGCAGCAGATGAGAGAGTACGGAATTGTTTCCAGATGTTTATTTCTTGGTGTAAATATGAAGCCAATGTAAATCCTGTGTCAAGATCTAGAGAATGGTGCTTTTTACTACAGTTAGCACATGCATTTTTAGAACTACTACATGTTTTAGAGAATCTTTGCTGTGTATATGTAAACTTCTGTACTGTTCCACCGTTAACAAATAAATTATTTCATTATTAAAGAAATTCTGGTCTTCCTGATGTTTTGTACCCTCTTGTGGTTTTTACTTACAGAACTGAGGTGATCAGTCAGACTCTTTAATTTCATGGGAAGTTTGCTGGCCAAAAGTTCTCAGCTCTTGGGTTCCATGATGAGTTGAGATGGCGTGGCTCGGGCACGGATCGTGTGGCTGCTGCTCTCACCTGTCCGTGCTCTGCACTCGCCCTGGGCTCACTGGTCACTGGGCTGACAGCCCTGCTGATGCCCATGTTCTGCTGGAAAAGACAGAGATGTAGTCACAGTGTAACGCCATGTGGTCAGTTATGGACTAAAGCTGGGCAGGGATGTGCCATGAGCCATCACAGCAGTGGTGGCTTTCCAGATGGGCCCTGAAGAAAGCGGGTGTCTGCTAGGACAGGAGCAAGCCTGCAGGGAAAGGGGGCAGCCCTGCAGGGCTGGGGTATGGCAGGGGCAGGGGTGCACAGAGCATGTGGTGTGTGATGGGATGCGTGCAGGGAGGACAGCCAACTGTGAAGGACGCATGTGATCGAGAGGAGAGAAGGCACCTGCTTTAGGGGGTTGGTTATTTCACATATGAACCCATTTGGTTAATTTACATTCACTCATTTAACAAAATTGAGCCTGGCTCTGTCGTAGGGCAGAGGGACACACATAGGGACAGATCACAAAACCCTGCCCTCTGATGCCACTTTCTAGGGTCACCCACTGGCTCTGCCCCTCAGACCCTGCCCCGCAAGCCTCTGAGCCCAGCGCCCCCTCAATGGCCTCTTCTTGCTCTCTCAAGAAAGCACTTGTTCAGAGTCAAGAGGAGAGAAAAGGGGGGCTTTCTCCTTCTTGACTACCTCTCATTCTTAAAACCACCTAAGAAGTGGTTTAAGTTAGGATGGTCTGCAGCCCGCGGGGCTTATTAAAAATGGGTCTTTCTGGTCCTTCTACTTGGGAAAAGTAGCCTTGCTCTTCTGCTTTCTCTCAAAAGCAGGGGCCACATGCCAGGCCAGTTGAGGACCTCCGTGGACAGGCTCTAGAGCAAACCCACC